AGCAGGAATCTTGAAAGTCACGTGACTAGGACGTAAAACAATAGAAAGCGTATAGGCAGAAGAAATGTAACAGTACCACAAAAAAATGGCCTTTAATGTACTTCCACTACGTTTTGCAGTGTGGACCAACGTAGTGGGGGTACATTTTCCCATGAGACTGGGTTGGTAGTAGCCACATTTGCTCAGCCACGTCTTTGTCCAAATACGTTGTTGCCTTTTCTTTTTAGGGCTTTCAGCACAAAATTGCACAAATTGCCATGGCAGGGCATTTCACTCTAGTGAGCTTCATATTCATCTTCTACTCGTTTGGCTTCCGGATAGACGAATCTGAGTAACGCCTTCTCACAGCAGAACTGAGTCTGATGTGGTTTTTAGATGTACAGTGCTAGCAGTATTGAAGATCTGAAGATCTTATCCTACAGCAGCAACTTGGAACACCTGAAACAAATGATAAAGGCTCATGAAATGGGCAAACAGAAGGCACAGACTTAAGTTAAACAAGGAGTTACTGAAAACAGATGAGGATAGTCACCTGAAAAAAAGACAAACAGGCATGACACAAATATCAAATAATGTGTATGAGGACCAGCTTTTACATGTGACAAGCACCAGGCTTTCTCTGCATATGCATTAAAGCATTGAAACCCAAAATCTGTCATAACGGACTCCAGCTTACCTTAGCACTTTCTCCGCTATAGTTACATAATCATCCCCTCAAACATCATGATTGCACATCAGTTCCAAAACAATGCAAACAACCATTTTAATCTTACTCAACATTGAGCTACTTGATGGTCTGACACTTTAACTCTAAATGTAAATGCAAACTTTATTCTCTAACCTATTTTCCTTACGTTAACCCCTATCAAAGGGCTATTTGGTCCATAAAAGATATATGTAAAAGCTAGACATCCACATACTAGAGCCTTGTTGCTTTTAACAAAAAGCCCCTCTTATAGTGCCGCATAGTCAATCTCCCTTGTTGACCCTAAAATTGTATTAAACAACCACACACCTTGCTAACTCTATGCAAAAGTTTACATTAGAGACTCTTAATCATTCACCAAGAAAGACACAAAAACATGGTAAAGACATATATACTTTTTCCCCTGCTCTCCTGCTCATGTTATTCTCATCATTTTCTTTAGCTAGGAGACCACTGGGGACTAGTTAGCTTTTATTTTCACCTGGAGTAATGCCTTTAGCTGTATCTATAAATTTTCTATATCAAAGCAGGTTGCCCTTGCCCCTCGTGCTATAATAAAATGCATGAAAGTTTCTGAACACAAGGATAATTTACTATGTAGCCCACTTTTGCAGCATGGTGATCTTCATCAGGACCAGGCCTCTGGACTTAAAATGCAGTTTTTAAAACAGCCCAAATTCCCCTGAGAATTAAATTGGTCTTCAAAATTCAGTTTCTTTATAAGCTGATGCTTAACTGCATCAATGGTTGGAATCATTTAAAGCCAAACCTGTTGATATTCAGACAGGAAATCAAATAAAGACTTAATAAATAGAATTGTCTTAGTACCTTAAAGTACTTGCAGTCATCTCCCCCTCAGTTGAGAAACAGAAAACAAAACAGACACATTTAAAGAAAGCAGCAGACTGTTCCCTAAGAATGGTGACATTATTACTATAGCATTTTTTCCCATGTTTGTGTCCGTTGAGCTTCTTCCTTAATCAAGGGACACCACAGGAAATCATTATGACTTGCTTGTCAGACTTGCCACCTTCCACAAAGAGGATTCAAACACAGGTTCCCCTGCATTGCAGTTGGAACTCAAATCACTATACCATGGAGATATAATCTCCACTAATATTTGTCACACTAGAGAATGACAGCTTTGTATCAACATTTTTTATTCCCAAACTTGGACTCTTATAGAGTGGTTTGCAATTTTACCAGTAGATTATAAATATAATGAATTACTAGAGCTAAAAGTTATAGTTAATTAATTGGTCATTAAAATCAAGTATAGTAACAATCAATTATTATTAGAATCTGCTTATTCACCAAGGTTCTTCAGTTTTTTTTTTTCCTAGATTGGACTCTTGGATCTGCTATTAAAATCAATTTGTCTTTCACCAATTTAGTATTTAAGAAACAGGGACAATTTTGTTTGGTTGGTGATTAATAACTGTGTTTATAACCATAGTCCTAAAGTGTTAACCAAAGGAGGATGGATCTTGCACTGAGTGATAAATCATTCTCTGTTAAAATAATGAGTGACAACCACAGGTTAAAATATCTGTATCTTTATTACCCAATAATCCTTATTACAGTATTATTATACCTAATATCCAAGAAAGCACTACACACTACTGAAAATGAGCACAAGGTAAATGAAATGCTAATAAAAAGTTTAAAAAAAAGCTAAGAAAGCCAAATTACTACTAAAGCTTTGCATTATTGTTGGTAAAGAGTAGTGACATTTCTTTTGTTTTGCTAGTAAGTCTGTTTCAAACAATGAATTTTAGTTTTTCCCCTTCCCTCTAAGAAACAGTTGATGCATTTTATAATATTTTTCTGAAGAAACTTTCCATTTTCTCAGACAGACAGCATAGTTGTAGAGGCTTGCCATTCTACACAATGGCCTTTGTGTTATTCTGAGGTGTATAAGAGGTTTTCAAAAAAAATCAACTTCCATTTTTTTAGCCAAGTGAAGTAAAGTGGCCAACAACTTATTGTGTACAAAATACTTTTATCTTCCCAATTAGTGTTTATCAATTAAAGTTTTCCTTAAGAACAGCTCTTATCAGCAACTTTTACTTTTATCAATGGGGATTTTCTCTTAGGTTTGACTATCTTATACTCCTTTTTGCAAAACGAATAACCAAACATGTACATTTTACAACTAGATAAAACTGTCCAGCCTTGATCTGAAACAGATTCTTGTAAAAAAAAAAAAAAAAAAAAAAAAAAACAGATTTGGAGGACCGCATGAGAAACTGGCTTTGGCTTGATGCTCAGATACCTTGTTATTATTTATCCTTTCATTTATTTAGACACCATACTATGGTGTCTATATCCACAATTTACATCTGTTCTGTCAACCTGTATCTCACTTGTAGACAGCAAAGCCATGTATGTCCTGCATGTGTGTTCTTGTCACACTCTAATAGAATCCAGATAAACACATCTGTTCGACATGGGAAACAAACAACCATTCTGCTGCCAATCTTCCATTTCTTTCACACCAGCACAGAGAACTGCAGGGTGGGTTATCTCATGTGAAATCTTGATCCCTATTCACACTTGTTATTAGTATTGTTCTCTAGGCATTTATTTAAAGAAGTGAGTACAGTCAATGCTATCCATGAACACATTGGAAATGCAGTAAGACAGTCTCTTAATCAGAAACAATTAAGAGACTTATCCACATATGTTTGACTGAATTGTTTTAGCAGCTCGTGCTGCTAAAGCATTTAGGTTTGAAGCATGGAATATATACTTACTAATTACATTTACTGTACTCATTGTCTTCCACTTAACAGAGACTGGGCTGTGGGGACAGAGGTGTCAGCATAGACTCTTGTCCTGGGCTATCCCTTGGGCATCCTCCCATGGGACGTGCCTGAAAAACCCTGTGTGAGAGGCTTTTCAGACACTTGGCATCTGAAAAAGATGTTTAAGCCACCTCTGTTGAATCCTCTCCATATGGGGGCGAAGTGCCTCTATTCCGAGCCTCTCCCACTCCTTACTCTATCTCTAAGGAAGTGCCCAGCTACCATGCGGAGAAAGCTAATGTCAGCTGGGTGTACCCAGAATCTTGTTTGTTTCAGTCACAATCCAGATTTAATGACCATAGGTGAAGATAGGAACGTAAATCGATCAGTAAATAGAGAGCTTTGCCTTTTTGCTCAGTTCTCTCTTCGCCACAATAGACCAATGCAGCATCTGCATTACAGTGGAAACCAAACTGATCTGTCTATCAATTTTCACTGCATTCTGCCCTCAGTCGTGAACAGGACCCCAAGTTCCTTCAGCTCCTTCACTGGAGACAGGAACTCTCTTCAGAACTAATGAAATGTGAGGTTCTTTATGATATGCAATCTATGCCATAAAGCTTTCAGACAGTTTTACACTAAATGCACAAGGGGGTCCAATCCACTGCTAGCCTGGTCTATATAATAAGTAGCCATTGAGCCTGCATGTACCCATTTGTCTGACAAACACAAATGCAACTTATAACAACACATTTGTAGTGATTTTTTAGACTGGCCAAGGTCTATGAATATAGATGCATTGTCATTTATGACTAGCTATCGGGCTGCTCAGTGGCACAGTGGGTAGTACTGCTTGCAACAAGAAGGTTCTGGGTTCGATTCCTGGCCCGGGGTCTTTCTGCATGGAGTTTGCATGTTCTCCCTGAGCATGCGTGGGTTCTCTCCGGGTACTCCGGCTTCCTCCCACAATCCAAAAACATGACTGTTAGGTTAATTGGCTTCTCTAAATTGTCCTTAGGTGTGACTGTGTGCATGAATGGTTGTTTGTCCTGTGTGTCTCTGTGTTGCCCTGCGATGGACTGGCGACCTGTCCAGGGTGTATCCCGCCTCTTGTCCATTGACTGCTCGCGACCCCACTTGGGACAAGCATGTAAAGAAGATGGATGGATATCTAGGAATTATTAAAGAAAAAAATAGAAACACATTGGTGATTGACTCATTGACTCAAATACAATCCCTCACACTAAGCATGCTTGTAGCGACAGTGGAGGGGAAAAACTCCCTTTTAACAGGAAGAAACCTCCAGCAGAACCAGGCTCAGTGTGAGTGGCCATCTGCTGAGGCCGACTGGGGTTGAAGGAGAACCAAATGCAAAACATATTTGTATATTTGTAAATTTGTATATTTTTGGTTAGTGTTTTAACCAAGATGCCATGAGAAGTGCATGGGGCTTTATTCTTCATGAGGAAGAAGCAGTACCTTGTGTTGGCTCGAAATGGGATTGCATTCACGTTTAAGTTTAGTATTCTTTATTTAGGATCTTTAAAAAAAAGCAACTTTTTATTTTCTGATAACCCCTCTCTCTCTTTCAGCTGCCTCACTTCATCAACAGCTCTCTGCCAGTACATGAACGTATGACTGCCATGCAGATTGACAGCTACTTCCGCCAGGAGCTCATCTACAAACGCAACGAGCGAATGGCTCAACGTGTCTCTGCTCTGCTGCAGAGGGATCCCAGCCAGACTTTCTTCTTCGCTTTTGGTGCAGGTTTGTCGTCCTTGTACAGAATCGCAGGTCTGCATTAATGAGTACTGTCATGGATGTGTTACTGCTTTTTGTCGACCTCATGCTCCTCTTGCTCCTAATTCATAATCTGTCATTACACCAAAAATGTCTGGTTGTCTTTGCATTAAGTGAAGTATTTCCAAGTACATTGTTTTTTACTTAAAGAGTGTATTTGTATCATATTGCTGAGAACGGAGATCAGGTTTTCTTTGGTTTGGGGCAGTGTTTCTGACAGTGTTGATGTCTGTTCATTATTATCAAACTTGCCAATATTTGTGATTTAAAGTAGAACTAGAGAAAATACAGTGTTCAAGTTGGCCCCAGATCTTTGACTCAGATCTTTAACTCATGTTCATAATTGCAATAGTACACAGACACACACTTGCACAGAAGTCTAGGCTACTGCCAGCTGAAGAAACCATGAGCTTCTTTGTTTCAGTTAGCATTCCTGGCTAATGCTGCTAATGTTTCCTGAATGACGTAGTGTGCTTTGAGAAAAATGTGTGTTTATGTGTATCCATGTAAATAAGCACAGTCAAACAGGTGGTGTGTCTGTTTACTGTACAACTGTGTTTCTCTGTTTTTAAATTTGCTAAGCGGTGGCACTCCCTCTGGACTGCGTATGTGTCTGTGTACCAGCATGTGTGTGCATGCAAGTGTGTATCACAGTGTATGATTAACACAGAATACCTGGTTCCCTCCTTTAGGCTTTCTGTCTCCTAGTTCTTTTTGTAATTTTTGGACAGGGTGTCTGCTGCAATATCGAGCTGCAAAGTGTGCATCTGCACAGACATTCTTTAAGATTGCAAGTGATTAATAAGTGTGTGCTTCCACTGTAAAGGGGTGGTTGGATGAGAGTAATATCACATTATTACACAAATATGAATTATGGTTTGCAATAAATGTTAAACAAATTCATATGTTACACACCATTTTTCTGAAACAGAAAAATGTCAACAGGTAGATAGGAGACAGCATCGATTTAGGACCACAATTCATCTACAAGGTGAAGTTGGAAAAAGTTTGGATTTGTTATGTTTTGCAGGTTGTTGGGAGGAACTGTTTGAATTGAAGGCAGTAAAATGGTTTTGTTACAATGTGACAAAATATTTGTCTCAGGGTGTCTGCATCAGTTATTAAGTTGAAATTTTTCATTATTTCTTTTTACACATAAAGTTACTGTAAACATGCATTATAAATAATGATAATTATTTTTCTTGTCATGATTTTTATTTTAATCAGAATTACCTTCAACTCCATGGCTTAGAACTTAGTCTTACCTTTATGGACACTCCGGTAGAGTACCTACCGGTAGAACAGGAAATTTGCTCATTTAAATAGGGCAAAAACCGCACCTGTTTGTACACCCTATGTTTCACCCATGCAATGTTTGTAGATCACCCACGACATGACCACTGTGCGATTTTCTGGGCGATTTTCCAGTCGTGCGCCAATGTTTCGATCGGGCCGACTTTCAGCTTGATCGTACGCCGCGAGATCAGCCTCTCACGATCACCTCCCGATCAGGAATTGTGATGGGCAAATCGCTCTGGGCACATGCACAAAGAAGGATTCTTCTTTTATTCCTCCTCTCAGATGTAAACACAGAAGAGTGGCAGGGATGCAATGAGTGAAATGCAGTTCTGTCTGTAAAATTGACAGACCGTAGTAGCCACATTTGCTCAGTTTTTTTTTCCAAATACGTCATCGCCTTTACTTTTTAGGGCTTTCAGCACAAAAATGCTCAAATTGCCAAGGAGCACGTTTCACTCTGGATAGAAAAGTCAGAGCAGCGCCATCTTACTGCGGAGCTGAGTCCGACGTGGTTTTTACTCGTACAGTGTGATCAGGTCGATCGCACCAAAGCGTCGAGCCGAACTTAAGTCGTGAGCTGTGAGCTCACACTGCACGACTAAACTCTGCAGTTAGTCATACAGTGTGAGCAGTAGCTGCGTGTAATGATTGAAAAACATCGCACTGTGTACGCCCGGCTTTATTGCATGTTCATTGTTTTTCTTTGCTCATGCAAATTATTCCTCCTCTTCAGGATTCTTTGATATTCAGGCCTTAGGTCTTTAAAGTGCGAATTAATTAATTTCACCATTTCCTATTACGATCCTGATTTTTGCATAATGCATCTTTTGAATTTGCTTGGTAGATTTCAGGTAAAATTTTTCTTCTTCAGCAGAGCAGCAGTGAGTTCTGGAAGTTTTCCACCATTTCCATTTCAAGACAGGAGAACTTCATTGTGTCATACCACATGCTTTAGAGGTGAACATGTGTCGGGTCACCTGCAAGGTTCCAGTCACTACACTTGACTGGGCTGACAGCTGGTGTGAAGTGATTGGAACCATTACATGGCACACAGCCTGCTAAGTGAGCTCACACACGCGTGCTTACACACATGCAAACACAAAGTTTTACATTCAGAGATGTATAGTGCTAGATGCACACATGAGAGCATAGATGCAGAACCAGTCACTAACACTCATGTAACAGCATGCAATTTGCGTTTGATTTAAAACAGCCAGGGCTAATTAGGAGCCAGGTACCAAGGTATATTTCTTTAAAAACTAATAAATTTAAATTGGAAACATACTTATTTATTATTACTTGTATATTGTAATTTTACAGATATTCAAAGATAGGCCCTGTCACCTAAAACCTATGTATGCCAGCAGAAACTAAGGGTCTTATATTTTTCAAGCCTTTCAACGTCACCTATAGGCATATATGTGTATATATATATATATATATATATATATATATATATATATACATATATGATGAAATAATGCCTCTAGCCCTACAGAGTTTTAATTTATGATGTATTAGTTTTTGGGGGGGTTTTCAACGTAGAAGAAAAAGCACCTGCCTTCAAAGTGATTCCCCCACCCCCATTTCATACCTGATGCCACTTCTAAAACTTAAACTCTTAAAGTCCATTACCTTTTAACACATTTTTGTGACTTGATATTAGCTTAAAACAGCCACTTTGTCTTAACTTTGAGCCAGATTAATCGCCATCTGCTTCACATCAACCACCCTGATTGGAGAAAGTGGGTGTTTGTTTTCAGTGCAGGTGCAGCACAGTCAATGGGAGATTCTTTATGAAGTGTGCAGCTATATATAGACATGCCCCATCTGCTCATTTTCACAGGTCTGAGAGGGACTGCTGCTCAGAAAGCAGAAATCAAGGATTACTCAAATATCCATGAATCAAGTAAAATACAGCTTTGTGCATGATTGTGATGAAGCTATAACATTATTATAACGTTCATAACTCAAAGAAGTTGATCTTGCATTATAAAGGCCCTTTAAAGCTAAAGGCAAATAAAAACCTACATTTTACATGACCACATTTTATTGCTAAAAAGAACCAAAACATTGTCTTTAAACTAGTTTCAAGTGTTTACAAAAACAGATAAAAACAACTTTAAAGGTTTCAAGACCATTTTATTCGCCTTTTGCATCAATAAAGTATTTGAAATTAAATTTTAATAGTTTTGAATAATTAAAATCCCTTTGAAATCTCTGGTATTTAAAAAGCACTGCCTTTCTTTCATGTCTCTTTTGGTATTTCAGATTGCTGACACAAATCTTTATAAGTCCTGTAAATGTCCCTACATGTCCCAGTTTCCGACTGGCCATAGCAAGCAGTGAAATTTATGATACAGGGATGCTGGTTTGCATTATATGAATACACATACAAAGCCTTTCTAGAAATCTGGATCCCAGATTATTCCAAAATAAATTGAGCAGAGATGGGTTACAGGCATTTTCAGGTGATCTTAGAAAATGGTGATCATATAAAACCCAGTTTTTATGCTAAAATCTCAGCTTCCCTTAGACTATTTGTGTTTTTACCGTAGAAAATAAAGTTATAGGGCTATGTCATTGTGGATTATAAGATACCCATGACATTAATTATGTGACGTTTCTAGTCTCAATACAATTCTTCATGAAGACCTCTAAGTTAGTTACTTTGCCTTTATTGCTGTATTTCTAGGTTACCTTCACATTAAGGGTCAATCAACAAGCATTTGCTCTAAACAGCTGACTCTAAGGATCAACAGACAAAACCACAAATGTTAGAAAAGGCCAATGCTGTGTTAGTTCATAATTAAAAAGAACAAACTCAAAGTTCAGTTGACACAGATGAAAATTAACTAGCTCACATTCATAGTTCACATTTTAAAAAAATTAACTAAATTCACAAACCTGTAAATTAACTAGTTCAAGTTCAATGAGAAAATTAAGGCACAATCCTAGAAAATAGAACCTCATATTCCGCCCTTTAAATGTGTCATAATATACAGAGAGAAATGGAAAATACTGGATGCAATCAAGGCATACTGTATGTGCAGTGAAGCCTTTATTTAGCCAAATTTCACAGAACTTCAAAAACATACAGGTACCCTCAGGTTATGCTGAAAAGATCTGTACCATGTATGATGTGTCGCTTTAACTTCAAGTTGGACATGGCTGACATACGGACTTGTTTATTAAGTCCCTGTGGGAACAGTTTGCACAAAAACATGAGTTTTTTTTCTGTCCGAATCTTCCTCTGTTAGTTCATAAAACTCTGCCAAGCGCTCTGCAAAATTGGCATCAGAAATACCAGCAGATGAATCTGAATTGCGCAGAGTAGTACTATCAGCAGACATGCTGATCTGTTATGGTGTTTGTTTTAATAAGTGAAAACAGATAAGCCTGATCTGTTGAGTTTGCATTCCCTAAAAATATGAAAGTATTCAGTGAACACCATTCAGTAAAGCACTGGAAAAGGCTCCTTGCAGATTTCAAGGAAAAGCCTTCAGCTGCCCAGCTTTAACAGTCCAAAGGCAGAAATCATTAATTTCTTTGCTACACTTTTGTAAGTTGAATTTTGGTGCACCTGCTTCATTGTTAGACAAGTGGAAATCAATAAAAACCTGATCAAATGCCCATTTATATCCACTATATGGCCAATTTAAAACAAA